TGGTTTACATACAGAAAGAAAGAATCTTTGATCATTACAAGGAGGGAGATGGGTGGGGAGAGAAAGATACTAACTAGACAATAGATAAGTGGTAACTTTGGTGAAGGGTAAGACAGTACACAATACTGGAGAAGTCAGCACAACTTGACCAAGGCAAGGTCATGGAAGCTTCATAGACACATCCAAACTCCCTGAGGGACCGAATTACTGGGCTGAGGGCTGGGGACCATGGTCTCAGGGGACATCTAGCTCAATTGACATAACAGTTTATAAAGAAAATGTTCTACATTCTACTTTTGTGAGTAGCATCTGGGGTCTTAAAAGCTTGTGAGCGGCCATCTAAGAAACTGCATTGGTCCCACCCCATCTAGAGCAAGGGAGAATGAAGAAAACCAAAGACACAAGGGAAAGATTAGTTCCAAGGACTAATGGACTACAAATACCGCAGCCTCCACCAGACTGAGTCCAGCACAGCTAGATCATTCCCGGCTACCACCACCAACTGTTCTGACAGGGATCACAAGAGAGGGTCCCGGACAGAGCTGGAGAAAAATGTACAACAAAATTCTGACTCGAAATAAGAGGCCAGACTTACTGGTCTGACAAAGACTGGAGAAATCCCGAGAGTATGGCCCCCGGACACTCTTTAACTCAGTACTGAAGTCACTCCTGAGGTTCACCCTTCAGCCAAAGATTAGGCCCATAAAACAAAATGAGACTAAATGGGCACACCAGCCCAGTGGCAAGGACTAGAAGGCAGAAGGGGATAGGAAAGTTGGTAGTAATGAGGAACCCAAGGTTGAGAAAGGGAGAGTGTTGACATGTCATGGGGTTAGCAACCAGTGTCACAAAACAACATGTGTATTAATATTTTAATGAGAAACTCATTTGCTCTGTAAACCATCATCTAAAGTACAATAAAAACATGAAAAAGAAATTTGAATTCTCATTTTTAGTAACTTCAATAGTTTTTAATTTCTATGACTGAGAATATTATATGTTTCAAGTACAAAGTATTGGCAAGGATGAAGGACAATCGTAAAATATTGGAATGTTTTTGTTAATTTCTTACTAGAATACTGTAATAAAGAACAAATTTTATAGCAAACTCTATATACCTCACCAAACAATTTATTTCATTCACAATTTTTAAATAAAATGCAAGTTTTCCTTTTCCTCTTTCCTTTGATCCTCTAGCTTGAGTTTCCCCTAGACTTCTAAAACCATCCATTGTGAAGTGGAGCTTTGTTTTCTAGGGCACTTAATAACCATATTTTTTTTCTTTTGGACTAACTCATTTCTGCTTTTATCCTAACACTTTACTTTTTAATTTTTTTAATTGGTACTTAAACACACTTTTAAATAAAAATTTAAATTCTGATTACAAGTACTTAAATTTGTTAAATGGACATATTTAATAATTTTATCATTTGCATTACTTTATATCAAAATTTGCCTGTTTTTAAAAATGTTAGTGATTCTGGATACACAATTTATCAGGACTTGATAGTAATTTTATATTACAAATTAGAGCTAAGTATATAAATATATTTTTTTCCTTATTTTAACTTATATTTGGTTGCTCAATGATTCACTAGGAGAAAAAGAAATTGAATATTGCTATTTGGAGAAGTAAATCTTTAGCTAGTAACTTGGTACCTTGTTTTTAAAAAAAGCATCTTCCATTTTTTTACCTGAAGAATTGAAGAGCTATAAAGACACAGACATATGCACACCTATGTTCATTGCAACACTATTCACAATAGCAAAAAGATGGACACAACCTAAGTGCCCATCAGTGGATGACTGGATAAACAAAATGTGCTACATACATACAATGGAATACTGTGCAGCCATAAAGAATAACTAAGTTCTCAAAATATATTTTAACACTGATGAATATGGAGCACATTATGCTGAGTGAAATAAGTCAATCAGAAAAGGACAAATACTGTATGATCTCAGTATTATAAAAAGACAAGTATAGGTATGCATTCTGAAACCAACATTCGCTGGTGGTTACCAGGGATAGGTGGTGGTGGTAGGGAATCGCTCTCTAGATAGTAGACACTTGTTATTTTTGGTGATGGAAAAGGTAACACCAAATATGAGTGAGGTGTGCCCAGCTTGACCAAGGTAAATGATGTTACTAAGAAGTGCACAAGAAAAAATGTTTTTGGTAAATGCTATGACATATACAACTTTTCAACGATAGCAAAAACAGCTAAAAAATACGAGTTTGGCTCCATATGTATGTATGCACATAAGTGTATAGGTATGTATGTATATATATGTGGGCATATATAGCTGTATCTATGTGCAGGTGTATATACATGTGTGTGTATATTCATATACACAGTAAAGCTCATAGAGGGCGCAAACATGGATACTTCCTAGACTTAACCAAACATCTCGTGGGATTGGTTTATGGGGCCTGAAGGCTTAGGACCAGTGTCTCGTGGGACAGCTTGGTCAGTTGGCATAATATAGTACATATGGTCTACATCCTAGTTTGGTGAGTAGCATCTGGGGTCTTATAAGCTTGCAAGCGTCCATCTGAGATACAACTGTTGGTTTCTGTGCATCTGGAGTAAAAGAGAAAGAAGGAAACCAAAGACTCAGAGAAGAAGCTAGTCTGCAGGATTAATAGTCTACACAAACCACAGTCCCATATACCCTGAGACCATAACTAGATGGTGCTCAGCTACCACCACTGACCGTTCTGATCAGGAACACAATAGATGAATACTGATAGAACAGGAGCAAAATGTGGAACAGAACTCAAATTCTTAAAAAGTCCAGACTTACTGGACCTGTGGAGACTGGAGGACTCTCCAAGACTATCGCCCTGAGATATTCTTTAAACCTTGAACCTAAAATATTCCATGAGGTCATCTTTTAGCTAAATAACAGATTGGCTTATAAAATAAACAGTATCACCCATGAATACTGTACTTCATTAAAAAATCACCTATATAAGACCAAATGGTCAACATTTACTCTGCAGCAAAGATGAGAAGGTAATAGGGGGCAGGGAAACTGGATTACTGGAAATGGAACAACCTAAATGGAAATAATGTGAAAACTGACACCGTGAAAAAATGTAACCAATGTCAGTGAACAAATAGTGTAGAAATTGTTACATGAGAACCTAATTTGCTGTGTAAACTTTCACTGAAAACACAATAAAATATTATTTTTTAAAAAAGAAGAGCTGAAGAGTTCAGTATTTGCTTTTAAAATGTAGCAGATTATCCTTTTGTTTATGATATAATGTGTCGCAAAGCTGTGGAGTATTCAGTTACCTGATGAAACTCCATGCCTTCAGGTAAGATTCCATGCAAAAGAAAGCTTTGCTTTGCTTCCTCCAAATCTAGAAAGAGATATGATTGAAAGACTTCCTTTTTCAAAGCATTTCAGTCAAGAAGTTCTTTCTATGATGTAGTTTCCATTCCCTGTGAGGTATATAAAATAGAGATTATTATTCTCATTTTATATATGGGAAACTGAAACTCAGAAAAATTAAATGATTTTACCTTGAATTTTTTAAATTTTAATTCTAGTAAGTAACTAGAATCCACGTCTTATTATCTGTTGTGCTTAGCTTCTTAGCGTTTTCTATTTTGAGTTATATGGTTCTCTGAATTTATTTTCATATTTACCCTAGAAATTTTGTCATTAAATGGAATATTTTTACTCAGTGATTGTCATGGTACTGTCAATAGGTATTTTTTTTGTTGTGGTACAAGTATACCTAACAAAACATTTGCCATTCAACAATTTTTATATGCATAATTCAGTGACATTGATTACGTTCTTCATGTTGTGTAACCATTATCACTATCCTTTTCTGATTCATTCCACCAACTAATAGGTATATTTTGTGGTATTAATTCAAAGACATCTGTATTAAAGATAAAAATGTAATAAATTGATTCCTCTGGTAAAATTTTTATTTCGAAGAGCTGTAAAAATCTTATATTTTGATACCAAAGGTGCTCCCTGGGTTTTTATTTTACAGCAGCTTATTTTTCGTAACAATTTCATAGTTCTTGCTTTCACAGCCAGATGCAATATTTTTTCCCCATACACTTTACAGTCTGACAGTGTTCTAAATGAAAAGAAATCATTTCTGTGTTTCAGAAATGTGAATTAAATGAAAGCAAACTATTTTTAGTATGCCTTTCAATTGCATAACCTTCAAGCAGAATTTTTGGTATAAATTTTTGCCTGTTACGCTTATTATGCCTTTGAACTGACTTTGTCATTGTTTATAGAGAGGCACAAGCAGGCACTTCCAGGAATGGAGGTAGTATTGAGAAATATTGAATTTGTGTATTTAAGGACCTTTCAGCTTTCAAAATTTTACATCAGTTATGAGTCCATTTTGTGCTGAATATAAACAGATTGTTTTTAATATAATCACTTGTCCTTGTTTCTTATTAGTGTAGCTTTTCCCTTTTAACAATGACAAGTGATAAAATTGGTATGTTGTAAATTTGCCACGGAGAAAATATTTGAGAGTTACCTTTATAAAAGTAATCGAGAAATATTGCAAAAGTTTAATTTTAATTCCATTTCCTCTTGTAGTTTGAGGTTTTATTGTTCTATGTTTCTAGTCTTACTTAACTTTTGGTCAGAGTAACTGGAGACTATAAATAATATTGCCTTAATAATGAGAATAATTCGTAAGAAAACTGCCTGACAGGTATCATTTACCATCAGTTTTATTGTTGTCATTTTATTTTTAGTCATTTCAGAAGGTGGTTTTTGAAAATCAGGCTAAGTTCTGTGAATATTAAATTATATCATTTTACTGTCTAATGCCATCCAGGAATGTATAATACATAATTACGGGAGGAGAGGGAGAGGAAATATATTTAGATATTTTTAAATGCTTGAAGTTTTTTACTAAATAATAAGACAAACATTTTCTTAAGTTTAGAGATAATTTGTAAAAAGCTACCCACAAACTATTAAAGAGTATTCCCTTATTGTAGGTGGCCCCAGAAGAATTTAAGACCAGCATTGGCCGTGTGAATGCATGTTTGAAAAAGGCTCTTCCAGTCAATGTGAAATGGCTGCTGTGCGGTTGTCTCTGCTGCTGTTGCACACTGGGTTGCAGCCTGTGGCCTGTTATTTGTCTCAACAAAAGAGTAAGTAAACATTTTCTTGTATAATAATAATAAGAGCTAACATTCACTGAGTACTCAGTATGTGCCAAGAACTGTTTCCAAGTACTTAACTCGATCTGTTTAATTCTCATAACAATGCTATCCTCGTTATAGAGATAAGGAATCTTAAGGACAGAGATTAAATCATTTGTCCAACCTTCATCAACACTTTATCACTCTTTATCACTTAATATGGGTCCTTATCATTTTAAGTAAATGCAATGCAAATGAATTACTTAGGTATATATAAATGTAGGTGTAAGTGCGGTACTTATTCTTTTTACAAAACTCGAAGCTGTGACTTAAGGTATTCCCCAGCTACAGGTATATGGGAAAGTTTCTTCTGATTCAAAGAAAGGCAGAAGTGAGAGTGACCAACTAAGTTAAGGAGAAAATCCTGCTTAGTTTTGAACATGTTACAGTAACATTCTAACATAACATTACTAACAACTTTGGAGCCCTGGTGGTGCAGTAGTTGGCAGTTCAAATCCACCAGCGACTCCTTGGAAACCCTGTGGGACAGTTCTACCCTGTCCTATAGGATCTCTATGAGTCGGAATCAACTCAATGGCAATGGATATCTTGTTCTCTTCTTTAAATTTTCAATTTAGTCTGTGAATTTTGTTCCCCAGCATAAAGGTATCTTTAAAATTTTTAATGGAAGCTAAATGAGGAAACTTAATTCATTTCACCTAAAATTCTTTCCCCTGTGCCACATTGATGATTTCATTTAAACTTTTTAAATGATGATTAGTTCACTGAACCCCTGAAAATGACAGCACTTTGTGGAGGAATAATTAGTGATGAAGTTATTTTATAAAAAACAAAATTTTCCCAACAAGTACTTGTTTTTTCCTCTACACCCTTTTCCTAAGCATTTTAATGTCTACTTCAAAAAGATAATAAAATACCCCCAACCTCGTAACTTTTTCAATGGAAAAGTTAAGCATTTTGTTGATTCCTTTAGGAGCTGTCAGCAGGTCAGAGCTTTACATGTTGTTTTTGTTAGGTTGAGTCGGTTCCAACTCATAGTGACCCTGTGTACAGCAGAACGAAACACTGCCTGGTCTAGCCACATTCTCGCAATCTTTGCTATGTTTGAGCCCATTGTTGCAGCTACTGTGTCAGTCCATCTCGTTGAGGGTCCTCATCTCTTTCACTGACCCTCTACCAAGCATGATGTCCTTCTCCATGGACTGGTCCCTTCTGATAATATGTCCAAAGTATGTCATCCTTGCTTCTAAGGAGCATTCTGGCTGTACTTCTTCCAAGACAGATTTGTTCATTCTTCTGGCAGTCCATGGTATATTCAATATTCTTCACCAATGCCATAATTCAAATGCATCAGTTCTTCTTCAGTCTTCCTCATTCATTGTCCAGCTTTTGCATGCACATGAGGCTGTTGAAAATACCATGGTTCGGGTCAGGTGCACCTTAGTCCTCAAAGTGACATCTTTGCTTTTCAACAGTTTAAAGAGGTCTTTTACAGCAGATTTGCCCAGTACAATACATTGTTTGATTTCTTGACTGCTGCTTCCATGGGCATTGATTGTGGATCCAAGTAAAATGAAATCTTTGACAACCTCAATGTTTTCTCCATTTGTCATGATGTATCTTATTGTTCCAGTAGTGAGGATTTTTGTTTTCTTTATGTTGAGGTGTAATCCATACAGAAGGCTGTAGTCTTTGATCTTCATCAGTAAGTGCTTCAAGTCCTGTTTGCTTTCAGCAAGCAGGGTTGTGTCATCTGCACATTGCAGGTTATTAATGAGTCTTCCTCCAATCCTGATGCCACGTTCTTCTTCATATAGTCCAGCTTCTTAGATTATTTGCTCAGTATACAGATTGAATAAGTATGGTGAAAGGATACAGCCCTGATGCACACCTTTCCTTATTTTAAACCACGCAGTATCCCCCTTGTTCTATTTGGATGACTGCCTCTTTGTCTATGTACAGGTTCCTCATGAACACACTTAAGCGTTCTGGAATTCACATTCTTTGCAATGTTATCGATAATATGTTATGATCCACATTATTGAATGCCTTTGCACGGTCAGTAAAACACATGTAAACACTTTACTAGTATTCTCTGCTTTCAGCCAAGATCCATCTGACATCAGCAATGATATCCCTGGTTCCACATCCTCTTCTGAATCCGGCTTGAATTTCTGACAGTTCCCTGTCAACGTACTGCTGCAACCGCTTTTGAAATTTTCTTCAGCAAAATTTTACGTGTGTGATATTCATGATTTTGTTTGATAATTTCCACATTCTGTTGGATCACCTTTCTTTGGAATGGGCACAAATATGGATTTCTTCTAGTTGATTGGCCAGGTAGCTGTTTTCCAAATTTCTTGGCATAGACGAGTGAGCACCTCCAGTGACGCATCTGTTTGTTGAAACATTTCAATTAGTATTCTGTCAGTTCCTGGAGCCTTGTTTTTCACCAGTGCCTTCAGTGTAGTTTGGACTTCTTCCTTCAATACCATTGATTCCTGATCATATGCTACCTCCTGAAATGGCTGAATGTTGACTAATTCTTTTTGATATAGTGACTCTGTGTATTCCTTCCATCTTCTTTTGATGCTTCCTGCGTTGTTCAATATTTTGCCCATAGAACCCTTCAATATTACAACTCGAGGCTTAAATTTTTTCTTCAGTTCTCAGGCTGAGAAATGCTGGGCACATTCTTGCCTTTTGGTTTTCTAATGCCAGGTCTTTGCACATTTCATTGTAATACTTTACTTTAGTCTTCTCGAGCCACCCTTTGAAATCTTCTGTTCCATTCTTTTACTTCTTTACGTTCAAGAGCCAGTTTCAGAGTCTATTCTGATATCCATTTTGGTCTTTTCTTTCTTTCCTGCCTTTTTAATGACGTTTTTCTTTCTTCATGTATGATGTCCTTGATGTCATCCCAGAACTTGTCTGGTCTTTGGACATTACTGTTCAGTGCATCAGATCTATTCTTGAGATGGTCTCTAATTCAGTTGGAATATGCCCAAGATGGTATTTTGGCTCTCATGGACTTGTTTTAATTTTCTTCAGCTTCAGCTTGAACTTGCATATGAGCAATTGGTTATCTGTTCCACAGTTGGCCCCTGGTCTTGTTCTGACTGATGATATTCAGCTTCTCCATCGTCTCTTTCCACAGATGTAGTCAATTTGACCTGTCCACCATGGGTGACCCTGCTGGTATTTGAAATACCAGTGGCATAGCTTCTAGCATCACCGCAACTCACAAGTATGACAAACTGATGGACAACTGGTGGGATTACTTTACATACAGCTTAGTTTATTGTTTGTCAAAACATTTACAATATTCTCACATGGGTTTCTATACATTTAAAAAAACTGAGCATAAATTTCTTAATTGTTATAAAATTACTTCTAAAAGTTACAGTCAATAGCTTCTACGCACGCCCCCGCCATTACTTTTAAAGCCTCTGTGTTAATTAATCATGATTTGGATTTTCTGTCATGCAAATACAGCTAATCTCAATCATTTAAGAACAGATTTTTTTGTTTCTGTTTTTAATATTATCTAGGATCTCTCATTCTAATGACATGTTTACACTTGGACTTTTTGTTAATACCTTCACCAGAGGGTCTGAAGTAGAAGCAATTTTTTTAATCATTTGGTTTTATTATTAGCACTGAGATAAAATAGTCAATGGAAAATGAGATTAATACTGATACTGTGTTCTCTCCTTACCTTCCATTACTTCAGTTAATTGTTTGTAACTGAAGTCGAGTTATTAGTGTATTCTTGGGTCACTAATCTGTCAGTTAAAAAAATTATGTAGTACAGAAGTTGTAAACTGTTGTCCCATGGGCAAAATCCAGCCTACATTGTTTTTAAACATTTGAATCAATTGCCATCATTTAAAAATTGGGATATTTAAAATAAAATTTGGGATATCTAGCCTCTCTTGAAAAATTTAAAGATCTGGTAATAATGGACCCACATGCTTATGTGTCAACAGTTGACACTAAGTGAGTTGTAGCTGCTCCCTTTAGATAGGACTAGCAGTCTGTAGTTCACCACAGAACCACCCAGCATTTACATTATGTGCCTTGCTCTGTAGGTATTACAGTTTTTTCCCTTTTGTATATTCCATGTTGTCAACACTATACTACACAAAACAATGAAACAGTAACCTTGGGCAAGTCGCTCTACTTTCTGGAGTCTCAGTTTCCTCATCTGTAAAACCGGGATGTTGTTGTGTGCTGTCAAGTTGATTCTGACTCATAACGACCTTATATGAGAGACTAGAACTGCCCAATAGGGTTTTCTAGGCTTTAATCTTTATGGAAGCAGATCACCAGGTGTTTTCTCCTGTGGAGTGGCTGATGGGTTCGAACCACCGACCTTTTGGTTAGCAGCCGAGCACTTAACTGTTGGGCTAGGAGGGCTCCTAAAACCGAGATACACTACTTATTTGGAAGGTGGTTGTAATAATGAAGAGATTTAAGTCATCTCACTGCTTTTTTGTCTACTTAGAGAAGTGAAAAATAAAACACAACAATTTAAGAATTTTGCTGCCTTCACTACTGTTTCCTAATATGTAAAGTAAGTTGTATAGACTATAATTGTTTAATTGAAAGGATGATTATCATTTATGTAGCCCATATCACTTATTTTACAGATGTGGAAACTAAGGTCCAGAGAGGTAAAGTGATTTTCCCAGGGTCATATAATAAATGGCAGAACCAGAAAAATAATCCAGTTTTTATTTTTGTTTTTTCTCTGTAACATTGTATTCTCTTGACTACATGTTCCTTAGGTCAAATTTCCTATTCCTGAGAAAAGAAACATTAGGATAAGTGGTATGATAAATAGTCAACCCTCTTAGTTTTAATTCTCTAGCAGATATCAGCAAACTTTTTCTTAAAGGACCAAATACTAAATATTTTAGGCTTTGTGGGCCATATGGTTTTTGTTTCATCTACTAAACTCTGCTGTTATAGTGTAAAAGCAGCCA